GGATCAATTTTGCTAACTTTTTATAAAGTTAAATATTTTTGAAGAGTACCAAATTCGTTATTCATATAACGGTTTTGTATTTTTTATATATGGATTTTATACTAATAATTAAAATTCCAAATTTGACTTCATGTACTGAAATAGATTTAATACTTTGCTTGCTAATGGAATGTAAAAACTCTGTGAGCAAATTTTTTTTCTTACACAAAGTTTGAAGAAAATATCGCATGCATGAAATTACCCATTTTAATTCCAATTGAAAAACTATTTAATACTAACTTGAGAAGTGCCTGGATATTATCAATTTTCAAAAGTTTTGCATAGTTTGAACATAGTTAATTTGATCAGTTTTAAGCCATTTAATTGGAGAAATTCACAAAATTTGTACAATTTGAACTATGACCTAATAATTATAATCGGATAATTTGACTTAGTGATAAAACTTGAACTTCATTACCTCAGCAATATAAAAAAATTTGTACAAACTATACTAAGTGATTTGACAGCTTGCACAAAAAATATAACCTTTAGTGTGATAAAAGATTAAGATTTGTAATAAAAAAGTGATGGAAACGAAGAGGAAAAAGAAAAATATGCAAAAAATAAATGGCATATTTCTAGCAAAATTTTTTTTACCCACCAAAGTGAAGGCTTGTGACAGATAAGATATCAAGAAATGATACCAACAGCAGCAGAGACATTGCTCATAGCAATTTCAGATGGGAATTTTAGCAAATATTTCATGAAAATTAGAAAAAATGAACCATTTTTTGATAATTTTTTATCAAAGTTCATGAAGAATAAAAGACTTTCTATGCGAACAACCTTATCAAGCAATCCTTAAACGATTATCTCTATTATTTTAATCCTCATTAGTGAGTAACTGTTACTTTATTCAGTACTTTAATTTTTAGTATTTACTTACTAGTAAAAATAGCACTATTGTTTATGCAATGATATTAGTTTTCATACTATTATTTTTCTTTTTTGATGAAACGGATAAATCTTCAATAAATAAACATTGCTAAAGCTATCAAATTTTCTAGTGTTTGAAGTCAATATCAGTTTTGTCTCCAACATTAAAAAGTTATATTGCTACAAGATAAGCCATAAATTGACAAATCACCTTTGAAAGAATATTTGCAATATACATTATATCTCGCAGATATCAAGATACATGATTAGTGTTTGAATATTCAATTTCTATCAGTAATTTAAATTTTACAGATTAACCAAATCAGTTAACTGAGCTAACTTTAAAATTCACTTCACATACCGAAAATAAATGTGATATTATTCATTTTCAATCTTTTTATACAATAATTTGCAAGATTTTATTCATTTAATAATAAAAACGTTATTAAATAACTTGAAAAGAATGAAACTTGCTGGACTTTTTAAAAAATTAGCATTGAAAGGTTAATAATTTTAATTAATTTCAATTGCAGCTGCTTCAAAATTTGTACTTCATGCTAATGAAAGCTAAGTTAATTTTCGCTTTTGGATAATACTAAACTTTTTTCAAGTGTTCATACTCTGATTTTTGAATTAATTACATGAAAAATTTACTTTAACAAATTGGATATGTCATAACAAGCTGTAAATGTATTAAAAGTAAATAAAGTTCCTTACTTTCAAAGTACAAAGTTACTTTGCCTGTTATTTTTATCAAAATTTGAGTTTGTTTGACACTTAAATTAAAAAGTAAAGTAATCTTTGTATTAAGGAGCGGTTAGTTATGACTAATTTAAATTGAATATCATTCCGGCAATACAAAAATTTCAAAAATATATGCAAAATATTCAATTTCCACAACTTTTGAATCAAAAATAACAAACATAAGGCACGGAATAATAATAAATAATTATTATTCGGTATCAAGATTAAAAAAAGTGTGTCAGAAGTCAACAGTTCAGAAATAAGTTGTTCATAAGAAATAACGAGGCTAATAGCGTATAAGTTTCTGAATTTTGACGATTCAAATATTTATTGCAAACAATGAACTTTTGATTTTTTCAATGAGAAAATATTAACTCTCCATCTAACATTTATTATTTTTTGAGAAATAAAATCGCTAAATATAATTGTTAAGAACAATATTCAAATTAGTTCTCTCAATCTAACACATATTAATTTTCTATTAAATTCTATTAAATTATTTGCACAGTTCTTTTTGCTGTCGACAATCAATCTAAAATATTGAAATAAAACTTGTAAAACAATCTTTTGAATTTCTATTTTGATTATTGTAAAAAGAAGAAGAAAAACCGTAAGAGATATCCAGTTATACCTTTCATTATCAATAAAATTTTTATTTGTGAAAGACATTAAAAAGTTGATCAGAAAAACAAAAGAAAAACTAGTTCTAATTTAGTATCGGAACTTAAAATTCTGTGAAATTTTCTACAAAACTGAGTAAAAATTGACATGCAACGAACGAGCAAAAGTGATAGAACTTTCTTAGACAAATTTTTCGGATCAAAAAATGTGCAAAAGTAAGAAAATATCTGAAAAATGGAGTACTTCAGGAAATATTGCAGAATTTAATTTTAGTGATAAAAATTAAAGTAAAAAAAACTTTTAATACGCTCAAAAATATAATAAAATCTGTAAAAAAATATAACTTTTTCAAATAATAATAGCATGTCATAGTCATTTTTAATTTTCATCTATTGGATAAAATTCAAGTTCTCAATTTCATATTTTCAAATTTTATTAAATGATAGATAGAAACGTGAATGAATCAAGATTTATAGCAGAGCCAATTTTTTGTATACATAAGTAATAATAATTAAAAAGTTATTGTAATTACTTGTTGCTTTAGAAAGTAATTATTAATTAAAGCAAATTATTTGAATAAAAAAACGTGGATAAAATGTGAAATAAATATAGAAATTGTTGAAAGTAAAAGAATTAGTTCATTTTAAGCCTACATGAGTAAGAGTTTAAAATATTAAAAATGCTGAACATTTGATTTTATTTGCATAGACGTCAGCACACAGCTGTCCGTCCCTATGAATTTATGCACAGAAAAAAAAATTTTTGGCTAAGCTCAAAAATTCCCAAACATTAGTAGATATATATATATATCTCAGTGAAATTGCTGCAAAATTCTTAGCACATAATAATTAGATGCAATAAAACAAATTAATTGAAACAATTATATTTTCTTAAAATTAATGCTAATTTGTTTTGTGAAATTTGTACAAAATTTGCTAAATTGTAAATTTTGTCTGAGAAAATTAATCATTTTTATGCTTTTTGATTCTTTAAGATTATTTTACCATACATTGTAATGAAATAAATATTTACAAGCTAGTAAATTTTGCTCTGTTACTTTTCTAAATATTTTTCACTATAAAAGAAGCAAAAAAAAGATAAAATGATAAATTGAAAAGTCAAATTTTAACAAAATGTTTCAATGATTGAGCAGACCTTTTCAATTTAGTAATTGCCAATTGCATAAATAAATGTAAGTGAATACTAAAAGTGTAAAAATTAATCAAGCACATTATTTTAATTGTGATTACTCTAAAAGTAAAAGTTGGTGTATTATTTGATCCGGTTTTTAAGGATTATATTCACTGCGTGTCACAATGTTTGAGAAAAATTATACTCAGTGTTTTTACCACACATTTACATTTTCTGCATCGAATACAACTAAAAAAAATTACATATAAATGTCAATAATAATAAAATAATCATAATAATAATAATAAAATAATCATAATAATAATAATAATAGTAGTAGTGATAGTAATAATAAAATATGTTTGAAAATGTTACTGTAGCATTAAGATATTTGAAACCTTGCCAGTGTTGATATGTTTGCAAAAGCTTAAAAGTTTCAAGCAAGAATAAGTAAAGGAAGCTAAAGTACCACAGGCAGAATAATGTTTTGACTTTTTCAGAATCATTAAAATTTGACATTTGCAGGAAAGAAACAAAGTAATGAAAATGCGCAGCAGAACGATTTTTGTCACTTTCGCTTTGCATGCAACTTTAGACTGTGTGTGGTAAGACTGATAAATGCAGCAAATTACTTGCACATATCATGCTGTCTTTCTTCTGATACTGTCATATCTTCCGTCCGTACTTTCCTCAAATTATGACACGACTGGCAGCCAGTCTATCTATCGCACTGAAAATAATGTCAAGGACAGTTTCACTTTACTTTACTGACAGTCTGCTTTGTCATTAATTTATGGCCAAAAATTGTAATCGATTTTTTGTGTGGAATAACTGTATCTGAGAGAAAAAATATTCCGAAATAATCAGTGATAATAATTTGAGTTATTTGATGAAATCAATACCAACTATCTCAATCGCGCTGTTTTAATATTTCTTTGGTATCTATTCATTCTGCATGCATGAAGCCTGACCTTCAAAAGTATAATTACAAAGCTTCGTTTCCACTCACTTCTATGCTATCAGTCTTAGTTAGTAGTCTTGTCTCAGAAATTTGCCTTCTGTGTGTGTATATCTTGTAAGTAGTGATATTCTGTTGCGTATGTTTCTCATCTTGTAAACTGAGAGTATTGTAGAGTAGTTCAAAAAATAGAAGACAGTCTTTGAATTTTATAACTTTCATTCTTCTTTTCAAAGCTTATCTCTGAGCTTTGCAATTTTGTCAACTTCTTGTTTGCTCACAAATTCTATACAACTGAAAACACTAGCTGACTTCAGGACAAAACGATTACAAAGTGAAACAGAATATCATACCTAATCACTTACGACATCTCACACAATTATCTGTAATTTTTTATCTCTTCTTCATTTAAATTCAACATTTCAAACTGTACATGCAAAATTTTTTAAACTAATTACAATCTCTGAGACTAGTCGATTTCATTGCTGTTCATCAACTAATGTCAGTATTATAAAACTTGTGATGTCCACGCTGATACTAATTTTAGGCCCAAAATCATTCACACTAAAGTTTTCAAATGTGCTATTTTCAAATGCCGTGCAATCTCACTTTTGTTTACATAAATTTTTCATTATTTCCCACATATGCTTGTCATATGCGCTTCGTTTCCACTTATTTCTGTGCTATCAATCTTAGTTAATAATCTTATCTCAAAAATTTGCCTTTTGTATATATCTTTCAGCGCCACATGCATTATTAATATGATTAATTGACCAGCCAAACTTTCATTTTATCTCTTTAATGACCGTAACTTTACTGTAACATTTAGTAACTGATCATTATAAATTACTCCTTACTGCTTGTCACTGATTAAAATAAGATATGAACCCTTATAAAATTAATTTGAAAATTTTCATGATTCAACACAGATTTCTACAACTTTTATTGATTTCTAATCAAAAATCTAAGATAATGTTTGGAAGGATCACGCTGAGATTCATCTATTTTTTGCATTAGTTTTCAAAACAAGAGTTTAATCCAGAGAGTAAGTAAAGTAAATCTTACCTGTTTATTCCACATAGTTAACGGAGAAGATTCTGCGTATCCATCTGATTCACGTAAAGTTTGTAAGCTAGCGTTTTTATCCACATTCACTTTTTCTAGAGTAAAAGACGAATTATCACTGATATGATCTTCCATTTCCTCACCTTCTTGATCTAGCTGAAAAACATGAATTAGATTATGAATTTACATTTTTGAATTTTTAGCATGCATTTTAGTAAGACAGTAACTGACGCAAAGTACTAAAGTTTTCCCAAACTATACAAAATTCAAATAATTTTTCAACAAATTTTCAAAGGTAGTACAAAAGTTCTACAAATATAAAAATCAACACTGTGTATCAGTGCTAACTTAGTTTCATAAAAGTTTAATACTCAATGTTACTAATTAATTTAAAAATATAAACAAATAAGTCTTCAAGTATTCCATTCCATATGAAAACAGTTTTATTACATTTTAAATAATTTATTCTATTTAATCTATCTAAATAATCAAAAACTCAATTTAATAACGTGAATAAACGTTATCAAAAAACTGGAAAACATAACAATTAAATTTGTACAAATTGAAAATTTACCTTAAAATTATTGTTTTCAACACACTCAGCTGAATTATTAGTGCCATTATTGTACAGTTTAGTTCGATTATGAGAATCTGAATTAGTATTCTTTGGAAAAAGATTGGCTTCGTACAACGGCGTTGTGCTGTTCTTCACATCACATTTTCCTTCAGAATACGCTCCATCTATCAGAATTATCGACGATTCTTTCTTTTCGTTATTATTACATGTTAACTTCTGTTTTTTACTATTTTCTGCCATGTTTCCTTGCAATTTTTGATTCTTTTTCAGCGGTGTATGCTTTTTGCGTAACAAAAAACGCCATAAACGGAACGATTCACTGCTAGTATTATTTTTACTTTTTAAAATTACGTCATTTTCGGGATTTAAATCAGAATTATTTATCCATTTTGATGAGTCAAAATTGCTTTCATGCAATTTCTGTGAATTTTCTTTGGTATTCATAACAACAGCATGAGCGGATTGATTATGAGATAATGACTTCGAAGCAGAGTTTATAAAAGCGTTGCAGAAAACGGTAGAAGTATTCAAGCAAGGCTCAGCTCTTACCTAAAATAAGGCAAACTTTAATCAAGTATAGTGAAGAAAATAATGTGAAATGAGAATAAATATTTTATTCTATCATCAAATGAAGCAAAAATTACATCTTAATTTGTTTTTGAATATTATTTTAAAAGAATTTGTAAAACAAAAAAGAACACAGATAAAATAACATAATTAAAATATTGCACTTGTAAAAATTTGAAAAAATAAAAAAATTTCGAAAATTCAAATAAATTAAAAGCAACTATAAAAGTTGAGTAAAATAATTTCAATTTCCTTACTATTTATAGCATATTTATAAAATCCGCAGCCAAAATTGATGCCACTATTTAAGAAATTTTTAATTGGAAAAAAAATTATTAAAGGAAAAAATTATAAATATATATGTACATAGTTAAATATGAAAAATGATCAAAAATATTGAGTAACTTAAATTTTTAGAACAAAGTCGTTCTTTCAGTCTTCTTTTTGCTCCATAAAATGTTTATTTTACATTGGTATAAACAAACTTTTCAGTATTACCATTATTTTCTCCACAAACAAAATTGGAAATTTGTTTTTATTGCCAAAAATTGGCAGTTTAAATTGACAGCAGGAGAAATAGTAAAGCAAGTGAAAAATTTATGCAAAATTCGAGCAAAGTAAATCAACTTAACAAATGCCTAGACTAGTCTTGATTTAATTACGCATTTTTAGAACAGATTATAGCACGGATAAATTTATCCTTTTATGAAGAAGTTAAAGAAGCATTACTTTTCGATTGCGATTATTCTTCTGAAATTTTGTCGAATTTTTAAAATTATACTTGGTTAAACATTGCTCTGTTCCAATATATCGCTGCAATTGTGGCAATAAAAATTTTATTGCTTTTTATGAAATCAAATTTATAGCACTAAACTTGCATTATCTGCGTTTAATAATTTAAATTAATAACACTGAACTCATAGTATAAAGCTTAACATAAATCCTGATGAATTTTTACAGTGGTAACTGTAGTATATTCTAGGTAACTGTAGTATATTTTATTATCGTAGATAATTAAATAAGCAAAATTTAAGACATTTAATTTACAAGAAAGCATGAATTAAGAGCAAAATTATTTTAGTTCAATGAATGTTTAATTAAAAATGTCTCCATCTTTCATATTTCATACTTCACACTAGAAGATACTGATTAAAAATTCACACTGCTCGTATATTTGCTGCATATAACATTAATAAGATGATGATACGTTCATATATTTGCGGAAATGAAATTATTTCTTAATTGACAAAATCATTTCTAAAAAGTTAAATTCATATAAATTCAATTTCAGAAATGAGCCTGCTAAAAATATTATTTTACCAGAATACACTTACTATAGCTGAATTATTTATTCTACTTTAAGGCCTTCTGAAAACTCCTACCAAATGTAAGACATTATGAACGATTATTTTAACTGCACTGTTTGTTCATATAGTTGTTGAATATAAACTTTTTATTAATGTGACAGCCAATTAATTTTGAAATTTCTATAAATCTGCATACTTGGAGTAATGTTTAGATTTCGAAAAAGTCGTTACTGATTGACTGTAAGCTTATAAAAACTTTACAAACTATATATTTATATATAGTATATACTTACCACAGCTGAACTGTTTTTCTGATCATTAACGCGTATTGCTCCTGTGACATCAGAATCATTTGCCGAAATGATAGTGACAACATCAGGTGTTACCTGAGATGAGGTCAGATCAAAACGACTAGATGGCAGTGAGTCCAACTCAGCAAGAATTTGTGATGTCCATCTGAAAAATTTGCCTCCTGAGAGAAATATGTTCAGGGCATATGTTTATAAGAGCGAGAAGCTTTTTTACTTTTTGTGTTGTACTAATTTGAACTATTCCCAAATTTTCTGCTAGCAATATACATTTTCAAGTGTACTTTCCTTTTTGTAACACGTGAAAATAATGCTTGCAAGCTGTACAAAAAGAGAAACAGAAGTGCTATAAAAATAAAGAGTATAGAAGTAGTAAACTGTTAGAAATATAAAGTTTAACTCATTTTGATCAAAAGTGTCGATTAGATCAGGAGAAAAATTTTTAAAACGTACTGAAATGTTAAAAGGAAAAGTATTGATATTCTAAATTTAAGAAGATATAAATCTTCCAAAACTGCAAATGAATCTTTTATAGTCACAGAATAAATTGGCAGCACTCATAATTTACTTACTGATTACTTTTTGAGTTTTTTTTGCATAATATTTTAAATACTCTTCCGAAGATAACACAGGTTAATAATAATCGTTTGAGAGTCTACTGTATGGTCATTACTACCATTTGTTCAAATAAACAAAAAATAAGCAGAGTCAAATTTTTGTAATCTTTTCTTGTGAACAAAACTTTGAAAATATTAAAAAATTACCTTACAATTTTTCAATTAAGATAAAACAAGTGTTTTTTTTGCATTAATTAATTACTAAAATTGCTGATAATTTTACAAAAGCAGCAATTATGACTTGACATGCCACTTCTTTGTAAAATTTAAAAATGCTGATTAGAAGAATCTTCTTAATTAATATAGTAATTTCTCTGTTAATTAATAAACTTCGCTAATTTGGTATGTTAATTGGTAGAATTTGTGAATGAAGAAAAACTTTTTAAAATTATTTATTCAGTGAATGAACTGATATTTTTGCTATAAAAGTATAATGTACTATTTTTTTAAAGCATAAAAAATGACCTTGTAACAGAATCTTGATTACTAAAATCAATCATTGTACCATCTAATTCTCGAACAGATAATGAACGTCGAACAAGTGTATCTTTGTGATGCAGCGCATTATTTGTACACAAGTTCAATCTAAATTAAATCAGTTCTATCAGGCGTAATCAAGTTCAGCAGTGGAAATGGTTATTTTTTGAACGTTTTCAATTAACTGACTGATAACATACCCAGCTTGAGAATTATTTTTCAAATCTCTTGAAGTCAATTTAGACTGAAGTGTACGGCGATGGGCTTTCCGAGCTGCTGGCCCTAAATATTAGTTAATTATAATATTTTGTGTTGTAAGTTTTATACTACTAATCTCTTAGTTGCTCTTTCTTCTACTACACATATCATTGCATTATCAAGTATATTTGCTCATAAAATCACAAAGAATTTTTATCAGAAATAAGAATAAAATCAACTTGCTCATTGTTATTAAATAACAAGCACATTTTTGCTTTGCGAGATTATAGATAAAAGATTAAATCAAATCTATTTCTACATTGTTGCTACAAATTATTCAATAAACTTACTTCCGAACTTCATAAAATTACTAAAGTAATAATTTTTTCAATCGATAAATTGATTAAAAAACATATACAAGTTTAATCTAATCTAGATTGACAATGTCAATTCATAAATATTATATGAATACAGATCATTCCTGCTGCTAGAATTCTCTTATTCTAGCAAGCAAAAAAAAAAATGCTAAAAAGAAATGAGACCTTTGAATTTCTGAAAAGTATCAGTGGATTCGCTTGGTGCCAATATTCCTCCTGTCTTTTTAATTGAATTCGGGCAAATTTCTGTTATCGACTGTGAGATCAAGCATGAATTAGCGCAGTTTCGTGAAAATGATTTTGACGTCTTGAACTGAGCTGTCTTGCCCTTTCATAGCAAAAATTGATCTTAGCAATTTTGAAAAATAATTTCAAGTTGCATACAATCAGAATATTACTCACAACATTTTAAATAAACTTTATGGTATTTATTCATAATGAATAATTTTGGGCAAATAGCTAATTTCATTTAGAATAAAAGTTTAAATTCGAAAAAGATAGCTAAAATTAGTTTTTTTACTTATTGCTGTAATTACTTCAAAATTGTTCAACAGTAAAAATGTAAAAGTATTTTTTATTTAAAACTCGAAAAAAGAAATAGTCTAATGTGTTGTAACAGACAATTCATCACAATCACATCCAATTTTCTATTCGATAAATTACTTTGAAATACTTATGCTTTTTATTATTGCCAATTACTTTCTGTTCTAAAACACTATCAAAATCTGATGATATTTACTGGTTGTTTTTTTCGTTCGTTAAGGTTATCGCTATCACTACTGTTGCTAGTTGTTGACTCTGATCTATGAAGTTTATTCAAAGCCGAAGTTGATTTCGAAGTACGTGTTTCACGTAATCCTTTTGTTAAAAGAGAACGTTGACGACGTGTAAAACGCTTCCGACGTAACGATACATAACGTTCTTCAACAAAAGTTTATAATTTCTTACAATTTTGACAAATTACTCATTTACTTTAAGTGATTTTACCAATTTTTCTGAATAATTTTTTTCATATATTCATTCTAGAACTTGTTTTCAAAAAGTTTGAAAAGATTATAATTTATTTAACTTCATAAATTTCAAACTTGCTTTACAAACCAACGTTAAAAAAGTAAAAATATGAACAAATTTAGCAAAAACCAATTAATGGAAGTTCAAAATTTTCAATTTCTTGTTTAAATAATACAAAATTTTCATAGAAAAATACATTGCTGTTTTTGATTCTATTTCGCTTACTTATTTCATTACAAAAGGAAATGAAAACATTTTCACTGCAAAGTACAGCGTTTTGGACCTACCGGAATGCTGATCGTCATCAGATGAAGTTGAGTGTAACAAGTGTAAAATGTCATGTTGAGATGCACTAGAAGTCTTTGAGATATGAGCAAATGAGGGAAGAAGATCTGTAGATGACAATTGCGGATATCTGAAATTCAGGCGAGATTAAATAACCTTTACTGACTCTAAAAATAAACTTCACTAAAAATTGAAAATATTTTTGAAAATCAAATTAAAATCTGAAATACTAAAAACATTTTCAAATTTTCAGTACTACCAATAATTATTTTGACATGAATTTTGATATTTTTCAATAATGTTATACTTTGACTTTTTGTCATTTCGATAAAAAGAAACCAATATTTTATGGGAAGGAAGTTACTGCTAAAACTCATTACTTAATAATATCACTGGTAATAAAATTAACTTAAAACCTAAATTAGTACAGCATTTGTTGATTTTTCATTCTGTACTGACTTTTTCATTCTTACAAAGAGAACAAACATTTCTGTCAGATATATTTTGTAGTTTAGTTTCTATTTATTTGATTTCTGAGTATATTTGTATTTAATTATTTCAATTCAGTTTCTATTGAGTTAAGGAAGAAAACTAATAGAGCAGAAAAAACAACACACATATCACTCAATAATAAATACAATTAATGACTGGTTCATAGATTTATCATATTTGGTCACTTTTTAAGCAAAAAATAAATTAACTTTACCGTTGAAAAGTGTCATTAAGTCAGTCAGTCAGTCAGTCAGTCAGTCAATCAGTCAACCAGTCATATATGCATTTTCATTTCCTTAAAAACTTCTCACTACTTGCTTCATTAGCCAAATTTCCTTGAAGACATTCTACAGTTTAATTAGATATTCAAGACTCTTGACAAACAAGCGGAATATGTACTAATTAAGAAGCAGACTGGATCTCTCATATGCATCTCTGTAATCATAAAATTTTAAACTTCGGTCTGCTTCCCTCTTATGAATACATCTAATTTATATACTATTGAAAGATAGCAGCTATGAGCAGCACTGGAAAATTAAATTTTTAAATAAATTATTCAAATTTCGGCATCTTTTGATTTTTACAAATTTTAAGTGATTTATACAATATTTTATTAGAAAAATACTTACAAATTTCACTGTTTATTTTTGTTTCTTGAGTTTTATGCAAAAAATATACATTTGCTAGTAAAAAATGAAGTAGACTAATTCGGATTAATTTCTTTTTTATCTATCATTGCAGTAGTGAGTTTGAAGATAAAATCTTAGGCCAAAAATTCATTTTCCAAGTGAGTAACTTCGATGAGATCTCGCGAGGCATTTATTTCAAATACTTAATTAACACTTGCAGTTTTTAATTTAGCTTCACGAAAATATTTAAAATGCAAATTAAAATGCATGAGTGCAAATTGAATAGCAATAGCACTGCAATGTGTCATGCAAATGAATTAAGATTTGCCACATATCAATAAAATTTTTTACAATTTATGACTAAATTTAACTAAAATTACTCACGAGTACACACATATTACAGCATTTTGCAAGAAAAATCAGCAAGAAATTAAAAGCTATTTTAATCGAGCAAATCGCTTAAAACTTACAAAGATCGAAGGCTGTATGAATTTCTAAAAGCTATGCAACAAATTTATTCAATTTTTTATTTTTCATCCAACAACACTTGACAATTTTTTATTGAACAAATATCAAATTCTATGCATTAAATCGTTTACTACAAATTATTTAAATTAAACTTAAAGTAACAAACCGATGCAAAACTTTAGCTTTTTTGTTATCGTCTTTGTTAGTTATATACGCAAGCTCGTGTAGACTTTTCGAAATCGCATCCTGAAATTAGAGCTTAAGCTCAAATAAATCCTAAAAGTTCTCGAGATTTGAAATGCAATCAACTAAGTGAGAGAATTCACAAATGAGTGAATGAATAAATAAATAAACAATTAAATAAATAAGTAAATAAATAAACAAATGTATATATAGTAAATAAATGAATAGTAATTGATACTTTAAAATGATATTAATGCGTTTGATACAGCGGAAAATGAGTTTACTGCTAGTTAATAATTAGTATCACAAGAACTATTAATTGAAACTTTGCCAAATTTTGCGTGTTAAAACTGCAATTTTCAACTTTTCTAAGCATAAAATACTAGTTTTAAGTAATGGAAATTATATGCTTAAAAAAATCAACTCAATCTATGCAAATGATTAATTTAAAAAATTTAGATCTTATTTATTGTTAAGATTTGTTCTGTGAGCACTACTGAGTGATTGGTAATGATCATCGGATATAATTAGCTAATAGATGCAAATATTTGCCATGAAGAAAAATTTGATTTCTTATCTCATTTTGAATCTTTTTACAACAAATTGAAAATTTACACAGCAAAATGTTCAGCAGAAATTTTTGCATAGGAATATGTGATACAATTGTGTTTATTAAATAAACTCTAGTGCTGAATTTTTGCTTTCGACCTATCAAATAATATTCAAATTCTCAAGATAAAATATTTGATTTTGGCATTTATGTATGTATACTGTAAATAACTTTTTTTGATTACGTAAATATCAGATTTTTTTGGCTTTGAAATTATTCTTACCGCAAAAATTCAATAAAACTTTTAGAATATTCAGATGTTTAGCAAGCTTTCCATAAGAATAAAAACATTCTAAAAAATGACATAATAATAGTAATTACATATATTTGACTACTTAATATTTTCCTGCTGCTATCAGTTTATTCAGCACAATTGTTCTAAGTTTTACCAGCATACACAAATTTAGCCTAGACTTGCGTAAACTACGTGACTGATACGATCGAAAAAAATTAATCACTGTAATATATTTTAAATAATAATGACGAATTGTTGTTAACATAATAACAAAAATGTTTAAAAAGTGAATAGAAATTTCAAATTTTTTGGAAATAAAACCATAAAAGAGCTGTTGAGGAAGTGAAGAAAACGATGTATTAACGATTGGACAAAGTGAAAAAATTATATGCAAAATAATTTTGAGACAAGTCGAAGAAAGGAAAAGCTAAGCTAATTTGCATATGGGTTTGGCGTGTAAAATAAGTAGTAGTAAATACATATTTTACTATTACTCACACATATATGTTACGGACGAAACAAAATGAATAAATGAATAAATAAATAAGTAAGTGAATAGAATAGTTTTCCGAGAAGTGTATACATACTAGACTATATTCTTTTGTGCCTGCTATTGGATCCGAATGTGACCCAAGTTAAGTCCAACTAGGCTAGACTAGTTAAGTTGTACACTGTGATGGTATAGTGCTGAGCAACATGAAAGAGTTCATTGCTGTATCCATGCAAATGCTATCAGCAATATATGCAAAAGTGAAATGGCGCAAATGACGCATATAACAGTTGCTAATAAACAGGCAACAGGTAAGTAAATGAGTAACTTTTTTACAATCTTTTGACTAAATCAAATTTTTGTAGTTATTTCGCGAAAATAGAATGCAATTGCATTGCAAATAAGACTTATGTGGCGTTATTGGGCGTGTTTAAATGCGAGCCATTCTTGTCCTACATACTATGGCTTTTAAACTTTGACCTCGAGTAAGTTTACTCTTTAAATTTATATGGATAAGTAAATTTGGACAGAAAAAGTGAGAATGAAACTAAAAGTAAACTATCAAAGAAAAGAAATGCCAATACATAGTTGCAAACACTTTTACAGTATTGAAATCAAAAATGCCATCACAATGTGGTTGAAAACGATATGCATTGTTAAGAAATTTAAAATCAATTCAAAATATCATATGACTCAAGAGGGATAGAGAGGGAGAATACTTAAAATAACTTTGAAATCAATTTTCGAAGTGTTTGAGGACTAAAAAATCAGTCACTGAAATTATTTACTGATCACTTGATAGAATCATAACTTTTGTAGAGTTATGTTCAAAATATTAAAATATTATATTCATATTTTATAGCCACTAATTAGAATTAATTAATTGAAGTTTATCAAAGTATGTCAAAAATTTATTTTTAGTCACTTGATCTGCTCTGGTTCTGATATAGTCTGATCTAAGTTGATCAGCGAATTTATTGTCCAACTGAAGCATCGCAGATATATTAATAAATTTCTAGAACTTAAAACTTCAGGGTAAATTAGAAAGAAATAGTGAGATTATTTTTGGAAGCAAATATATAGATCACGAATTTGTTATCTGATATTATTTCTATCCTTAAAAGAAATACTAAAATTTCAGTGCACCGCCGACCTTGTAAACATAATCATAACTCTCACAAATTATTTACTCGTCATCAGAGTTACTCAAGTCAAAATATATAATTAAGAATTTCATACTGCTTTATGCTACTAATTATTGTAATAAATCAGGTCAAATGAGCAATTTATCGGTGAAAGCTCAAATATGAACAGTGAATAATATATGCTAATTATAGTTAGTATTTGGTGAAAATTTCTACGAGAACTCTCAAAAGTCCCAATGGATTTTTTAACTTTTACACTTTTTTGAGTTTTTTTTTACTTCCGCAATGAATTCTTTCCAATATCGAAAAAAGTCCACCAGCAGGAAAGAACGCTGCGATAACTTTGAACAAAAATTTGTGTGTGCTTATTTCTTACATACAAATATTTGTATAATTTGCATCACGTATGCTATTTTATTTACGTGCATAAATATGCATGTGAATAAATGTATTTATATTCTTATATAAATAAATAAATGACAAATCTGATATTGAAAAATTCACGTGTAACGTGAGTTACAATATGTAACTTTTGAGATTAAAAAATATATATTAATCTCAGTTTCGAACCATAAATGATAGTAATGCGAAGGTTTAAATACTTTGTAAGATATTAAGATGTATTGATGTTTTTAGCACTTGGAAGTGATATACGTGAAGTTCTTTTTCCCTCTGTACCAAAAATACCTCATTATTATTACTCACTGCCAATATTTAAGATGAAAAAAAAAACCCCATTTTGAGCTGAATGGCAGTGGAATTTAATTAAATCATAAATCGGAATTAAATAATTGAAGCTAAAATTCACAAGCATGTGAAATTATTTATGTGAAAAAACTATAAATCTTGCCACTTTAATTTATCAATGTAGAAATGAAAAAAATCTGAATAAGTAAAAAAGGCATGACAGTATTATACAGTGGAACTTAATTAAATTATAAACTGGAATTAAATACTCTAAAATGTGATTGAGTAGAATTAAATTTTGAATTATCAAAATATAGACCTGTGCTTTTTGCAAGTAACAGTCAGCCTTCCAGAAGGGACTGCGTTTTCTTTCTTTTTTCATCGCAACAAAATGATTACTAATCGCATCTTTTCTTCGCCACTCTCACATTTTCTTCACATATTTAATATCTGAAATCAATTACTTAATTCTTAATCATTAAAAATTGTATGTTTCGGAAGCATAAATTTTGAAAGTTATTTACGCGT